ATTTCGCACCTATATATATAAGATAAATAAAGAAATCTATTATATTTATTTATATAATATATAATTTGTATACTTTATCCTTGCTTTAAATGATTTGTTGATAGCAACGTCCAATAGTTGAACTTTTGAGGTTAAACCTCCTGGAATTACAGCTAAATTTGTGTTTTTTTTCAGAGAATCGACATTTAACTATATCATAATATGAGCAGTGAATGAATTTAAAACTAAAAGTGAACGTGGGTCTACTAATGCTCTTGATCGCAAATTCCACACATTTTCAATTCACCATAACATCTCAACTTTATTCATCCATTCTTTAGGATTTGTACGCACATAAACTCTAGCAGGAAATACTTGCCGTGGAACATTAACTAATTTAAAAATAATAATTGGAGGCAATTTAGTCCCATCAGCTAAATAAGTAAGTACAATAGTAAAACATGATTTTTCATGTCTACAGGTCCAAATTGAAACTGTATTTGCACCACAATTATCAATTGTAGTATTATTTAGAAGGTTGAATGATAATGGGGTTTCGTTCATGTTACCTATTAAGGCAAAAGGATAATTATATTGAATTCGATTATACAATACAAAACTTAAAAACTCTTGTTGTTGCAATCACAGATCTTCAGAGAGTTTTTGAGCTACGGATGTTCGACGCCGATTACTTAATTTGTAACAAATTATAAAGCCATCAACCCACTTATTGCTAAATTTGCTTTCAGTAATACCAGGATAATAAGTAATGTAAGGTGATTTTTGAGATAATGTTTTGGCCTTAATTTGTATCATAGCACGAGTCACGGGTTTGAGTTTACTGCGTAATTCTTGTACTCAACTAAAAATAGCCTTCTCTAATTCAGGATATTTAGGTGATTTTCCCTTATTTATTCGTTTAATATGAGGCGAGACATTCATTAACTCATTTTTTTGTTATGCCAATCTCTTACTTGTTTTGGTTCAATATTAAATTTGGTAGCTGTTGCTCGAACACTCTGACTTGAGTGTTTTTCAAAGTATGTAACAATAGCAAGTTTTTCACATGCATTCCATTGCTGTCTTGTTTTATTTGTTACTCTCGCATGTCCACTATTCTTATTTCCACGTACACGTACCATTGTAACTTTAACAGGTTAACAGGTAAAAAAAAAAAAAAAAAAAAATTTTGATCGCAATTTACTGATGCAATTATGATGTAATTTATAACATACCGTTAGTTACAGTACGTTAATTTATTAATTATATATTTAATTACGAAATATATCGATAAATCATATACTGCGGCTATGCTATAAATTACATCACGGCACCTTTGTAAGCCACCTATACGGTAATTTTATTATAACTATGTAAAAGACCCCCCTGCTATAGTATCCCCGTTACAAAATACCCTATACTTGTATACCCCCTCTGTAAATAGTACCCGGGTGGGTACTATTCAAGAAATTCGATAGTTTATTGAAAAGTACCTGAGATACTGTAGTCAGTGCTATATGGTAGAGAGCATCCATATATAACGTTATGTACCTCTACATAGTAGCTCTTGACCTCCCAGACTATTGTTATAGAACGAATTAATTATTAGTTTATTATTTTATTATTTATTATTTATTAATTATTATCTTAGAAT